TGCGCCCTATAGCAAAAACCTCTCAAAAAAAAAAAAAAGATTTTATTTAACTTTATTTATTTGACCAAAAATGGACAGAGAGAGAGAGAGAGAGAGAGAGAGAGAGAGAAAGTGAGGAAGGAAGCTGCCAGGTCCAGATTTCGAACCTCAGTTGGCCAGGTGGGAGTCCAGCACCCTTAACCATCACGCCTCCTGCCAGCCCCACTAATTGAATTTTTTAAATGTCTCTCCTTGGTCATAAATGTCATAACTTCCAAAAAAGCTTCACACACAAACGTATAGACAGTAAGAAAATCTTTGAACCTTTTTTCTGTCTCTCTCCTTGCCTACTCATAATGGTTATTAAGAATTTAGTGTAGGGGACCAGCAGTTGGCGTAATGGCTATGTCACTGGACTCCCACATAGTCAACCGCGGTTCGAGTCCTGGACCCAGTGGCTTAAAGTCACATTGGGCGCTTGTGCCTGTGTGCCCAGGATCCCAAGAGGAGAAGGGATTGTGGCATGACCATTCCCCCCCGGGGGGAGATTTCTCATTTTCTGTCTATCTGTTTCTGTCTTTCTGATGAGCACACATGCCCTATAGCAAAAACTCAGAAAAAATTTTAGTATGTGCGTTTCTGGATCATTTTATATATATGTACACTATTTCTTTTGTGTGATGTAAACCTATTGCAGGAAGGGATCTGTAGCTTTCACATTTGGTGTCCCCAGCAGAATCTGGCATGGAAATGGCCTGTCTGTTCAAGATGTGTTTATCGGGACCAGCAGTTGGTGTAATGGCTATGTTGCTGGACTCCCACATAGCCAACTGCAGTTCAAGTTCTGGACTCAGTGACTTAAACTCATGCCAGTGGCATGTGCGTACGTGCCCAAGATCCCAAGAGGAGAATGTAGAAGGGATTGCGGCGTGGCCATGCCCCCGGGGGGTGATTTCTCGCTTTCTGTCTCTCTGTCTCTCTCTTTCTGACAAGTTCACACACCCTATAGCAAAAACCTCTAAAAAAAAAAAAAGATATACTTATTAGCTGATGGAGTTTTAAAGAAAAAATTATGTTTACAGTGGAAAATTGTAAAAATAATAACTGTACTGTTTTCTCTTTCCCATTTAGGTTGTTAAAGGCCTTACCTATTTGTGGAGTTTAAAGATTTTGCATAGAGGTATGTGCTGGGCTTCCAAGCTGATTTTATTTGGGGTAGGCGTGGTGCTGTTCCAATATTGTCGTTTGTAAAGTGAATAAATGATCTAGCAGTAAGCCATTGGTACTCAAAGAGAAGGCTGCTTTCTAAATATTATTTTCCTTGTTTTTTCCCTCACTGCTGTCATTTAGGTTATAAACTTGGTGTTATGTTTTTGTGAAGCATGTTTACCAAACATGTAAGAAGCTGTTTCATAGTATTTGAAAATAACCAGATCTCATTTCTCTTGTTTAACTCTAGTTAATGCAAATCCTTCGCTTTGTGTATAATTGCATCCTTCCTGTTACTAACGTTTCCGACATCATGCACTGTTCCTAGGAGGTCACGCCACATACCTGTACAGTGAAAAGCAGTGGTGAAGGCGTCATAGCCTCCGGGTCTAGTACCAGTATCCCCTGGAACGTTACAAAAGGGCCCTCCTTTTATCTTTGTTTTTGTTTTATTTTTAGTGGTCCCAAACTATCTAAATTCATTCAGAGCAAATTATTCGGTGTGAAAGAGACTATAAGAAAGCAACTCCAGGGCTGATGTTACTAACAGTACTGTTTAATTTTATGCATCTGCCCAGCCTAGGTTTGTGTACATTTGGGGACTGTAACAGCATACACATTAGATGTGATTAAGGGAAAGTTGTTTTGGTTTTTTTTTAAGGTACAAACTGAAAGGAAGAAAACATTCAACTGTAATATCACATCTGTCACTAAGGGTTGTTTTCTTTTGTTGGTGGATTTAATATCCTAGTGATTACAAATTTCTTCCTAAATCTGCCTTCCTCTTTTAAAGAGAGTATCTGGATCTTGACAAGTAAAATGTTAATTTAATTCTTAAAGGTATTTATGCTGATTAAATGGAATCATAAAGCAAATTGTTCTTTAAAGCAGTCTGCTCTGTTTCTGGAGTGTAGTCGGGGCGACGTGTCCATGTGGGACTGAGCTGGATTGCGCTCCTGTTCCTTTCCCTGGGTACGAATAAGGGTGCAAACAAATCTGGTGGATCAAAGGAAAAAAACAGAACCTTTTCCACTTCAAAATCAGGAGAGAATGGGATTAAACATGCGATTTCGTGCTTGTATTCCCCATACTTCCAGCTTCCTGTGCGCCAACCCATAAAGCAGTTATGGGCATTTTAATGGGAATTAACCCAGTGGTCAGTTCTTGTCTTTTCATTGATTTCTGTGGCCATCTGCTGTCCATTTGACAAAGGAACTAAAGGAAGACATCAATTGTCTATAGCCAAGCTTTCATTGAAAGGGTGGTGCCGTGGACGTGCGAGTGTTGCTAGGACAGAGCCTTACAACCCTCCTGCGCTCTGTGCTTACCGGTTACTTCTGGCTTCTAATGAATTTTCTCCAGCCATAACTTTCTGTGAGGAATCTCAGTAGTACCAAGAATGTTGGTGGATAGGGGAATGCATTTCAGCTACTCTGCAATCATTTTTTTTTTCTTTCAAAATGAGAAAGCATGCTGATAAGTCAATATGCTTCTGGTACTTCTGTATCTAACTGATTTGGTTTTAGTTTTAACTGTGTTTGGAGAAACAACTCAGTTTTTCATTTGAAACAGGATCTTGGCAGACATGTTTGAAACAGATTTGTCTGGATCTAAAAATCAAGCCTGGGCTCAGGTTTCAGTAGGACACTGGTGATCACTGATGGGCAAGTGTGCTGACCGGAGCCTCTCGGAGGCCGGCCGGGCCTTGTTTGCAGCAACCGGGCTGAGGAGGGGCTCTTTGATCAGTGACATATGAAGGCGGTGACAGTAGCCTGACTGAGGGAGAACACTGAGGTTACAAAGGGGAATCCGGAGCCTGTGTTTCTCTTTGCAGCCTGTGCGGGCCGGCCCCATGACCACAGAGGGAGCCCTGCTGCAGTCACTGTTAGTGTGGGGGCAGATAGCTACGAGGGGCTGGGAGCCTGTGGGGCAGAGGGCCTGCAAGTCGTCGCAGGAACTCAGTTTTAAGTAAATACCCATGAGGGTAGGTTTGAGGGGCTGTACGTCCATGGCTGCTCAGATGGAAAGTTATTCCCCAAGAGTTATGGACACTCCACTACGAACTTATATAAAGAACCCGTGGCGATACACCTCCTCCCATACGTTTCTGTGTCTAGCTTTTGTAGTTTCCTGGCCGTTCTGCCTCTAGATCTGGGTGCATGTGTTTGTACTGAGGAATCAGTGGAAGAAGTCAAGTGTCCCCGAAGACCTTTGTAAAGCATTGTAATGAGAAATTTGTCCTAGATTGAGTAGTTGTTAACTTAATATTTCAATGGTTTTGTCCATATTTAATAACTTGGGTTCCATAAAAATAAGATTAAAGATGCCTTTTTATTTACCAAAAAGCTATTTAATTTTCTCCTTGATTAAAAAATTGTAGCTTTTTAGATCAGTTCAATCAAGCAATTAAAGATCAGAGCTTTTAAGTTCAGCTAAGGCAATTAAATAGATAATATACTTGTTTATACACTTCTGCTCTACAAGCTCATTGGCGTACCTTCTTAAAAGCACATATATTCATTTCTGCTTTCTCTAAATGAACGCTGATGGGAATGATAGCTGAGTGCGTGTCACATTGTCAAATCAAAGGCAGGCTTCTTTCTGCGGGGTGGGGGTGCCTGGTGCAGGCGCCATGAAAAGAGAGCGAAGAGGAGAGAGTGAGAAGACGCACTGGTGGGTGATCTAAGCCTCTTCCTCCTTTGTCTTGGTCTAAGTACCTGTGTTCTCCTCTGATCATCATTTTCTAATGCCGCCTCTAAAAACCAGGGTAAGGGGAAAAAGGAAAGAAAGAAGTGGCTTTCTATTTATGAGTAAAATTTCAAAAGATTAAGAAATGGAGACGTATGCAGTTACCTAATGAGAAAAGAGAACAGTTTCTCACATTTAAATGACTTTTATGAAATATAAGAGTCCTAGAGTTTTAGCTGTGGAAAACACATACATAAATAGTATATTTTGGAATTTATAAAACATGGTTTAGTGACTTTTAAATTATTGAAAACCCAGAATCTCTCCTTGGTGTATCCACTGAGGACTGTAGATTGAAATTTGATCTGTGAGTAGTGACAAATCACCCATCTCATGAGACTAGTCAGTTTGGTCAGTTAGTTTATTAAGTAATGTATTTTGTCAACTGGAAATTGTTTTGGAAATTAAAACGCACAGTCACTATTCATAAAGGATCATCAAATATTATATTCATTCAGGTGTTAATGTTTATTTTGCTCTTTAAGATTTGGTTGAGATGGGGCCAGCAGGTGGTGTGGTGGTTAAAGGGCTGGGTTAGGACATGGCCAACTGTGGTTCGAGTCCTGGACCTGGTGACTTACTTTCTCACTGTCCCTCTCTTACTCTGTCTCTCTCTGGTAAGCTCACATGCCCTATATCAAATTTTTAATTAATTAGCTAAGTAAATCATTCTAAAAAGAAGAATTGGTTGAGATGACCCATCAGAATACTTTATAAACCATCAAATGCTAATAATGCAGATATATTTTTGTTATAACTTTGAATTAATCATTTTATTCAGATAAGAATACTCCATTCCCAAATGAAGCCAGAGGGAGAGTTCTTACACTTTCAATATTGCTGGGTCAAAAATCATGGACTTCTCTTCTTGAGATAAACGAAGCATATGATGATCCCACACGAGGACAGAGTTATTAAAAATGTCTGAAACTCCACCAAGATTAACTACTGTGGAAGAGTCAGCCTTATTAAAAGGCATATGTGAGAGCTCCGTTAGCAAAACATTAACCGACTGTGGGTAAAAACAAAGAAAATGAACAGTGAGAACGTCTGTTAGGCCAGATCCGACATTACAGCAAACATTGCAGCTTAACTTCAAAACATACATCGCCACTAATGAGGTGAGAGCCCTGCATATTAATAAACCCACAACTCCAGTCAGGCAGTCATTACCCACATCAAACACAAATACGAGATTAGCACCTACGCCACTTCTTCGCAAGATGTGAGAATGCCCTGGCAGTTTGCGCTCTCTTTCCCGAGGATAACAAATAGAAATGGAAGGGTAATGAGAATAGAACTCAGATTAAGAAGAAATTGGCAGTCATTCTGGGGCAGTCTCTCACAGGTGCAGCAAACCTCGATAGTTGGTGTCCCAGGCCGAGTTTCATATACATGAACTTGGTTGGTCTCTTTGACGTTGGAGTTTTTTGGTTTTGTTTTATTTTGTTTTTGTTTTTAATACATTTGTTGCAAAAATTCTGGAGACAAATGCTGCCTAAGTAGATCATCTGTGTTTAGAGAAACTATCTTGTTGTTTAATTCATGTTTGCAAATTTCATTTCCTGCTCTTGGCTTTACCCTCTTGTAAATCCGGCCCGATGCAGAACTTTCGGTTGATGTTACCTTAGATGCCAAAGCCACTCCAAAGCCACTGTTGTTGGTTTGTTCATTCAGCAACTATTTCTTTTATACCTGCTGTGTTGCAGGCACTGTTCTAAATACTTGGAATACAGGATGAGTAACAAAAAGATTTCTACGCTTATGGAACTTGTTCTATCAGGGGTGGGGTGGTTTGGGAAACTATCCGTAGACATAAAGAGGCAGAGTTCTTTCTGTGGGGTTGGGGAGCCCGGTCTGAGAAGACAAGATGGTGAGGAGAAATACTAGTGAGAAAGCTGAGCCTCTCCCTCTTTTGTCTTGGTCTAGGAACCCTGTTCTCCTCTGATCATTTTGTAATGCTGCCCCTAAAAACCAGGGTGGGGGGAGGAGAGAAAGCAAGAAAGAAATGGCTTTCTGTTTTTGAGCACAAAAATAAGTAAATACTGAGTGTGTTAGAAAGTAGCTGGTATTGTGGAGAAAGGAAAAAGAGAGCAGGCTTGGAGGAGACAGTGGACAGGTTGCAGTATTGATCAAATAGACCTCATAAAGCAGGTGAGTTTGGAGGGAAGGCCTGAAGGAGGAGAGAAGGTAGCCAGGTAAATTTTATCAAGTTCTGACAAG